GGGGGGGGGGGGGGGGGGGAGATCCAGCCACGAGGTGGTAAATTGTGTCTAACGCCGCTTTTAACCAGTAATATAACGCTCATTTCTCCTAACGGTTAGATAATGGCTAGATAAATAAGTCAGCTGATGGTCGAATAAAAGAAATTACAGTTAGGAGATGAGAAATCATAACTGGGATTGCCAATTCAGTCTTCTACTTTTTTAAGATAAAACTTGCTTTTATATATAAATGAAGAAATTCTATTTAATTCCGCTAAAAATATATTCATGGTACGCAAGAATAATTTTCCTGAATTGAGAGGAAAAAATATTGAATAGAAAGAACAATATCTTCAAACTAAGAATTGTATTAGTTTGAAGATATCGCCTTTATTCTACCTAATATTTTTTCCTCTCAATTCGTGACAATTCTTGAATAACAAGAATGTGATATTTTTAATAGAACTATAGAATTTCTTTATGTAAGAGAAATTTTTATCTCCATTTAAGATCATATATTTTTGTTCATATGTGAAAGCGTGAATCTTGAATTAATACTAATTTTTTTTCGCGTAGCTCTTAACTCAGGTCGACTGAATACAATTTTACTCAGGGAAAAGGAAAAAGAAAGACGGAAAAATATATTATCCGAAGGGATGGAAAGTAGTCTGAAAACGTTAGTCTATCTCACGAAATGAACTATCTTGTCAATTAAGAGGAAGCGTCTTTTTTCGTTCAACACCTCCTTCGTCGGATTATACCTTTACTTTGCGCGCAGTTAATGCGCGAAATTAAGTTAACAATTTTGAATCCGCTTTCACTTTTATTTACGGATACCGTTCGAATTGTGGACTCACTTGAAGTATGAGCGTCTTGAGCTCCTGGTCGCTGAGAAACGCGGGCTTGTAGTGACCTTCCGTGTATGAGGTGACGGCACCGAAGATGGTCTTGAGATGTTGTACCGCCATCCGCAATACAGTCAGCTTATCCAACTTCCGCGACATCGCGTGGCACATTGGCACCATTGCCGACAGCTCGGTGATGTACGTGTTCATCTTGTCCCTCCTGCGCTTCTCAATCTCGCTATGATTCTGCCTAAATGTACATGAAATGTCAACGATCACAATTCCGTCCTTGTGCGCCTGTCGAGACAGGCAGTACGTATAAAGTCTAAGACCTTTCGAGGAAACTTCTAGATAAGCGGGCAATATCTATTATCTGTATAAAATTTAATGAGACAGCGCCTAGTCTCCTGTAAAATTGCAAGACTCGTAACACGAGATACTGGAAATTATGTGAAATTCTTGATAACAAATTGAGAGTGCACGCTAACCACGCACGTTAGAATTTAAGATCGAAATTTCGGAAACTTTTACGGAAATTTTTTTCGTCCGCTTTTTTTTGCTAATTAACACAACAGGAGATCTCCATCTCGTATCCTTCATCCTGAATCGCCTCTATCACGTGACGTAATCGATTCTCGGGGTTGCGTGATTCGGATGGAGGAATTTTACGACGCGTTTACGAACGCGCGAACACAACGAACGTGCGCAGACATTTGACGCTCTTTTTTTTCTTTACAGTTTACTGGAAGTTCCTCTTCAGTTTACTAGAAATCATTCTTCTCCATCTTTCTCTCGTCCGCGAGCGATTAAATGTTACGCAGATTCTGATTGCGTTAATCGGCCATTCGTCCTTTCGCGCAAACAGATTGGAATGCACGCGCGGCGTTTCCGCGCGACCGAACGACGCAGTCGGCATACACCGTTGGATTTTCCTTCTGCACACCGCGGCCGATTATTCACACGATCGCGTGTGTTTTCGACCGAAATCGCTGACTTTCCTTCATCGGGGGGAGGGGCGCGAAGTAAAAAGACACGGCGGGAGAGGTCGTGCGCCTCGGCGACGTCGGGGCTCGATCGACAACGAGGCCAACGTGTGTATGCGTCAATTACATCGGGGCGATTCAACCCGTAAACGACGCTTTTCAGAGCGCGCGCGCACTCCACTACTGATTTGTCAGCCAAGAATTCGCATTCATATCGCGCGGGGATCAATTGGTCAGCGGAAATCGCAGCGCGCGGCGAGAAACTGGTTTCGGTTAACTGTACCGTCGGGCCATGCTCGCGTAATTTCATCCAGATCCGCGCGAACATATCGTAATACGTATCGTAATATCCGCTGAATTTTTTACGCCGTGTCAGCGGATCTGTAAGAACGTAAACAGCGGACTGAAGAACTAGGGTTTTAAATCTCTACCGCGGTTTATTACCGAACATACGTCACGCGATATATTCTATTTGTGCTGTATTAATTAAAACTCTTATTTTAACATATATTTGAGACAGCTATTCTTTCTTCTTAAATTTCCCCCGAGATCGGGTGAAGTTTAAAAAGAGTTAAAATATTTAAACTCTCCGTCGGCAAAGGGGGACATTGAAAACTCAACCAGTCTTTGATTATAAATTATAGAATAACTGGTAGATGATAGCGTCCGGTAATTTACATTTTATGTTATTGTGTAAACTGTGCACTAGAAATATTTGTATTTTTCATACGTACACTAATTTTGATAAAATTAAACTAGAAATTTAATAATCTGCTATAAAAATGATTTTATTATTTTCTTTCTCAAACGAAACTTTATCTTTTTTCTTACAAAAACTATCATTTTCAGATGTTAAAATAATTTAACTTTTTGAAACCAATATTATATTATTACACTTTTTTTTTCGAAGCACATATCCTCAAATATTATAGCCTAAAACGATTTTTGTTTTCTTTCAGTCATAAAAGTGATGAATTTTTAACTAAAATCCCATTTTTTCGATGTTTCTGCCCTGATTTCAATGTGTAAAATTTAAGTAAGACGCAATCAGACTTTTACGATTGTGAAAACTCGTAATTAAAGTTTTCATAAGTATGCGAGAGTTTTATACGACCTAGAACAATGTAAAAATATGTGTTTCCTCAATGATCCGGATCGCCCACGGACTATGCTAAATTCAACATCGCCGACGGAGAGTTGAAAGAAATTTGGCTGAAACGCACAGATATATACACGGCTCGTAGTATGTTAATATTCGAATAAAATCAAATTTGAAATAAAATGAAATGTAATATAGAAATAAAAAATAAAAAAGAGAAAAAGAGGATCAAAATCGACATTTTATTTTTAGTCTCTAACAACTTGTTAAAGATAAAAAATTTGCAATTTACGTAAGTGGATGCAAGTCAGCAACACTCCTCTACAAAAATATATGAGAGTCTTATGAAAATATGACATAATAGTCAGGGGCAGCTTTAAGACGTTCTCTTCTGGATAATCGTCCGACGTCCGATTATCGAATTAGCAATTCATTCGGTCATTCAGTTCCTCGATTCTTCTACCGTCAATCGTTACCGCGGAAATACCGCATCGCGAAGCTGAAGCGCGCGAACGAATTGAGAAGATGTTGCAATCGAACGCACGACCACTCGGAGCGACTCACATCGCGGCGCGGCAGGTACATTGGATTAGTGACGTCGCTGATGAAGCCAGAACAAAGAATCGAGGTAGGTCAAGGTGGCACTCACCTTGACAATACTTGACATAATACCGCGTAACCGCTGACCGAGGCGGCTTTACGCTAAAAGCCCGGATCGATTGAGCTGCAGAGTGACTCAATCGGAAATCGTCATTCTTGGACGCAACGCACATCGCACTTTGTTTACTTACTTCTTACTGTCGTCATTTGTGCGAACGGATTTGGTGTCGTCCCCTAAATCGTCCAAGAGATCGTTTCCAACGCTGAAACAAACGTGGATCGTTTCTTCAACGAAGAAATGTCATGCAAGGAGAACGTAAACGTTTAGTGTGCGGGTCACATGTTAATGAAACGCAGATAAATTAACATTGCGAATTAATCGAGATGGAGTAACATTACGAATATTTACGCTATCATCGCGACAATCAGCTTCTCGATAGCTGAATATTATGTCTGCGCTTGCATCGATTTCGTCTCTGCCCGTTTTAATCAGCTGCGTGTTCAAAAGACTTCATCAATCCCGTCGCTTTCCCAATCATAGCAACAATGGAAATTTTCGGGATTAGATGCATTATTTTCTAATATCTGTGCATTATAACCGCTATTTTGAAGCATCGTTAGTCAATTCATGAAATTATCAGCGGTCATGACTCAAGTCGAAATTTTACATTAAGTCTCCAAGTGCAGAAAAAGGAAACAAATTTCCACTGCAAAGGAGCATAATAAGTGTTTTTTTAATATTACAAAGGAACTTAGTCCTCCAGAGACTAAACTAGATTTAATGCAGAACTAAATTTTCGATGCGGAATAATGCTCCTGAATTGGAAATTTTCGATATCATTATGCCAATAGCGAATGGGACAATATTAATGAGTCTTCTGTTCATAGGTATTTCGCTAATTTACCGACGGACACGTCAATTCAAGCGCGTAATTGACGAAGTCCCTCTGCGGCTGCGAAATTCGGTCGGGACATCACAGAGAAACAATTTCTTCGGCGGGTACGCGACCTTCGCCGAGGGTGTTACCCCTTTGACGGGCGAATTTCGTTCAAGTTTCGTCCGCGTCGTAGAGCTTCCCCGCTTCTTTTGTGTCTTGAGCTCGAAGAGTCACGCTCGGGTTTCTCGTTTTCGCGGGGGAAACGCGAACCAGCGCGATCTCACGAAAGGTTCCGCGGAGAAAGAGATGTGTGTAAATATTTATGAGAGGAGAAAAAACGTGTTTATACACATACACACGCGCGCCCGTATATACACGTGCCATCGTGGCCCGACGCGATGCATTAATGACGAAAGCAAGTTCTTAGGTCAGGCACGCATGAAACTCATGCTAATCTAATGGTAGCACATTTCTGATGTAGTGTCACAAAATAAATACCCGCGTCGTAAACCACACCTTAATCTTCATTATGAATGATCATTATACGAGGTAAAAAGAGCGAAACAGGCGTGCCACGTGGATGGTGCAAGCGCCGAGGAGGCATCACTCGATGATGATGCTCGACGTTTCGCGTCGCAGAAAAAATGTAATTTTCGAGTGACGCTATTCGACGTGCATGCACTGGAGAAATCCCACTAAAATTATTGCTGTTTTCGACAACTTGACATCTGTTACATCTGGTTTCAACTAAAAAGAATAGTAATATAAGAAAAAATCTCAATTCCTGCAACTGAATAAGTACCAGATTCACTGAAAGGAAACTATTTAAAAAATAAAGAATATTTATTCGACAAAAAAAATCAAAGATAAAAAAATGTTTAAATAATCTTTATATTTAAATTTAATCAGTGAGTGCTAATAACATTTTTATTTAAACCCATTTTTTTATTTAAATTAAATAATTGCTTCCATGAGAAGCTATAATGAAAAAAGTGATAAAATGAACGAAATTTTGCTTAAACGAACAAAATTTCCTCAAACATAACATTTAATTCATCGAACAAATTATATAGTTTGCTGTAATGAATTATCAGTTAATTCAACGATTACGATTTGGTCAGCAATTGTATCAACGCAACATATTGTGGCGCTAATATGTCATTTGTTTAATGAACATAATATTTTTCGAAATGAGGATGACCGCTAATTTTGTCGATTCAACCGCTTTTTTCTCGGTGTCCACACTGAGTCCACAAATGAGTTTAATTGAATCTATCTAACAATAGATAACTAAAAGTGTTTTAGTTGAAGAAAACAGAATTTGTGATTATAAGAACCAAATTTAATTCATGATTCTAGAAATTTTGTTTCCTTCAATGAAAACGCGTTTGGTTGTCCATTGTCAGGTAGATCCAATCAAGTTCATTTCTCAGTACAAATAACAAAAAATATATTTTTCTTATATTGTTCTCAGTGTAAAAATATGTATCTTAATATAAATAAATATATTATTAGTAGCCACCGAATAAATATTTTTTATTTCTTAGGTATTTTTTCTCTCAGTGTGGACTCGACGACGAGAAATGAACTTTCTTGTCACTCGGTGGCAAGAAGTGATATCTCTGTTACCGCGACTAGAAACACTCGTGTGAGTATTCAGCTGCATTAAAACTCGACTAAGACTACTATTAAGTAAAAACCTGTCACACGAATCTTTTTGTTGCTACGACCGAGTTTCTAGTGTGATCCCTAGACAGCGGAAAATCCAGTTGTAACGAATTGTTTTCTCTGCATAGCAATACGCATATAAGGTTATTATTACTGACATTGTAGTAACATTTATTAGAAAAAATGGTTCTCCCAACTATACTTCTTTCGCTTATACGATTATACCGTTACAAATGTCAAGAATTTTTCTCTCAATGTATGCAGAACGATATGCAGACCGCATCTGGGAATAGTAAAAGCAACTGCCGATGGTGATTTCGAGTGGTCTCGAAGTTTCCCTCCGGAGAGAGAGAAAGGAAAAAGGGGGGGGTGGGGGNACCCTTTGACTGCGTACCCGATATCTTGATTGGTAATTACCCTAACGTCTACGAAACTAACGTGAGGCATATCTCGAAACATCGACATCGATGAGTATCGAGAGAAGGTGGGCAGAAGGGGGGTGGCGGTTGTTGTCGGGCTGTTTGCACACGCGAGATTCCAGACTTGGCGGATACATTTGGTAGGCTTCGTTTCGTCGTGTTCCGTGCGTCAGTTTAACGTGTAATATCTCAATACGACTTCCATCCGCGTGCAACGCGGTGACGCTTTGTGATGAACGCGACGGCCGCCACTCGCCATCGGATTCTCACTTTAAAGACCATTGTAAGAAACTTTAAAGACCGTTGTGAGAAACCGTCCGAAGAAACGTCATTGGATCCGAGTCGCTCTCTTGAGAGAGGGAGAGATCCTCTCGGGGTATTCCGACAAGTTACTAAATTGAACTTACTGGCAGGAAAGCTTCCGCTTCCTGGACGCCGGTGCGAACTCGACCGAGATATCGTTCGTTGGTCCGTGGCTACTCGTGGTGGATGTGTTACAATGATGTCGATGGTGATGATGATGGTGGTGATGGTGGTGATAATGATGGCCGGAGGCGGGTGCCTGGTCGGGAATCATCGTCGGGGGTGTCTCCATGTGCTGGGGCGGTTCAGCCCCCGTTGCAACCTGAGGGATGGTGGAGGTGCTGTTGGAGATGGTGGCGATGGTAGTGGCGGCGGTGGCGACAGCGGTGCTGCTGCTGGCGGTGGTGGTGGTAGTGGTGGTGGTGGTGGTGGTGGTGCTGGTAGTTGTAGTGGTCGCACTCGGGCTGCTGGGGGTGGTGGCGGTGGTGTTGCTGCTGGCGGGGGTTGGAGTCGGGGCGAGACCTTCGCCACCCCCCGCCGAGGCTGCGGTTAACTCTCCCACTCCGGAACCCGTGTCTATTTCGCCAAAATAAACCGTGGGGCAGGAAATTCTGAAAGCAAGTTTTGAGACAAAGATCAGAAAGAGAGAGGAAAGATAGAGAGAGGATGTTTCGAGCGTCATCGAAAATCGACGGCTATGAGGAAACGGGTGTTGTCGAAGGTGGTTTTACAATAGTATGCGGTAAGACGTAAGCGGTAAGCTGATTGACCAACCACCGATAAATTATTCTTGGACACTAGAATCCAATTGGTCAATTAGCTAACGTCTTACTGCATACTTTATGCTACTGTAGAACGGCTATTATAACGCCGCAAAGAAATTTCGTCGCGTTTATGACACTTGCGACACCGAAACGTCAGATTGCATATTTTCTCCCCTTTCAATTTCCGTGTATACATACGCAAAAAAGCACACAGATGTCGTAGATATAATTTGATATCACCAGAATGTAAACGTGATGTTTGAAATTAGAACGAAAATGTCATTGGTATTTCATTTCAGAAATTACAGTTTATGATAACGATAAAGAGAGAGGAGAGAAACGTTCAGACACAAACAATCTCAGGCGTGCCGTTTAAAGACCAAATCGACGAAGTCGTCTTGTTAGAATAATAAGTATAGACTCCGTTCGTGGAACACGCGGTAAAATTTGCCCTGTGCCTCAACGTGGTCTCGCAAGTGTATGAAAAAAATCCTCCCAAACTGTGTGTCCGAGATCTCTCGCAATTATTACGACGTAAGAATTATATAACCGAGAGGGAGAGGTCGACAGATTTGCTGCGTTATATTCTGCGTGCCACGCGAGCGATTATTCAAATTCCTTATCATTATCTTCTCTCGGAATATAAGCGGACCAGTTATCAGCGGGTTCTCTCTCTCTCTCTCTCTCTCTCTCTCTCTCTCTTTTCATTTTTTTCTTCTTCTAGATACTTTTAAAACTCCGGGCGAACGGCACAGCCGTAAGTTACAACCACATGTGGGAACGCGTAAACGTTTTGCATATAGATAATCACTAATCTGGCGTATACGGGGCGTGTAATATATAGTTGCGGCAGCGCCCCAAGTCCGGGAGTATTGAACTATCGTCATCGATCTCGCGATCTATGGCTCCTGCGAGCGATATCGATCCAATCTCCCTGATTTGTCTTACTCGCTCGATCGTATACGAGTCCTTTCGTCGTCGCGCCGATTAAATCTCGACCGCGCCGTCTCATAAACGGAATCTGAGCGCGCAGGGATACGCGCGTTATTAAAAGTTCATCCACATAAAGGACGCAGGACGCAGAACGTACACTGAGAAAAAAAGATTAAACATTTTTTTCTTGAAATATAAGACTTATTTCGCAGAAATAAACTTTTGTTTAAATACGGCGAAATTAAATGTTATACCTAGCAAGTGAACCAATTAATAAAGAAACTTAGGTATATTTCACAAAAAAATATATATTCCGTCATCACAATTCAACTAATCAATAAATATCGGTTAGAAAATATCTCAAAAAATATTCACTCGCTCTACTTCGCTCAACTCACAGCCGAAGCAGAGTTAATCGAAGTTAATCTGAGTCATCGACACATAGTAACACAAATTAAATAAAAAGCAAAAACGATACTAGAAGTCGATTTTTGTTGACTTGCGTCACTAAATGGATAGCACTCTACTTATAATTAAGGACGCTATTCGACGGAATTCCCGTTGGAAATCAATCTCCCCTAAAAATTAGCAGATCACACATTCTTCCAACGTTCACCGAGACTCTCTCTTTCTCTCTCCCTTTCTCTCTCTCTCTCTCTCTCTCTCTCTATTCATCCGCGAAAGAAAAAACAAAAAAGAAAAATGGTGGATCAAGGTCTGCCGGCTATCTAGTCGTCAGCGGATAGTTCCGTGTATTATGATGTAATGCAGGCGATTAGCGTAATTCTATTTATTCATAGATAGAACGACAGTGCATGAGACACCATCGCAACGCGGCGACGTCATGCTGCATGCGGTGCGACACAGGTGGGAGCTCGAGTGCGTTGTGTATCTGCCCGAGGCGCAACTTCAACCTTCTAAGCAAATCTAAGCGAGCCCCTGCGTACACGCTTCTATTCGATTGGCACGACTTATTTACAACGTTGAAGATTTCACCCAGTCATCTCGATAAGTCGCTTCTACGTGCGCCTCTGAAAATCCCCCGCGTACCTATCCCGCGCAATTTGGCTGATGACGATTGCGTAATAACAACGAACACGCGGCTTATTCTCAGCCGGGATGAGCCGGATACACAAGAGCTGCCTATCAGGCCAGATAAAACGATGAGACTGATCGTTGTCGCTCACCCCGGTCGAAATTTTGGCCCTCTGTTAAATCTTTAATTGTACAACACGGCGGGAACTAAGCAAAATATATTCAGTTTACTCCTACTCCGATTCTGATGGTACCTCAAATTCCTGTTTTCGCTATTTTAGCATCAAAATAGATTGTTCAAGTGTTAAAATTAAATCTGAGCGCTAAAAGAATCGATCGCCAGATTATTAAACCGACCGTATTATATTAGGCTCTCGTGACATACAATCGAATGTTTAGAAATTAAAATAGGTCAATAAGAGCCAAGCAAGGTTGTTAATTGCGAATATTTTAATTCTGGGGGATAAATATGTTCGACAGCGTGATGATGCACGTGCCGACATTCCGTCGTACTTATCAACGTACGTGAGGAATCTTCCTTCCACGTCCAGATTATTAAATTTAACACACATTTTTATAATAGTGTATAGATTAAAAAAAATGTATATTTCCTCATTTGAAAAAAATGTTTTTTTATGTAAAAGTATTCCTAGTAAAAAAAATATTACGCAAACTATCTTTAACCTTCTGAGAACCAGACGGAAAAAATCAACACACGGCGAACCACATGGAGTATCTCATACCCCATGCTACACTTCACCATAAGTATGACCATAATTCCAGCTGCACAAAACGGCAACTTGAATGCAGTATTAAAAAAAAAAACTTATAGAAATTTAAATATCGCTGGGCTGTGTCATACCCTACCAAGTTCATTGAAGGTCAAGAGCGTATATAAGCAATTTCCTCCTGATAAAATGTTAGATATGATTTAGTTAATTTAGTAGTCAAATGACATAACTTAGCTTTCAAGTGTTTAGAAACATCGGTGATACATATGTGTATACCATTCGGGACGAAGAGGTTAAAGTAACATCAGAACTTTGACTCGGGGCATTCGACTTTTCCCGAGTTCCCAACTTTCATCGAGCTAGCGAGCGCACGAGCGAGCCGGATCGCGGTCTAATCGCGCTTGCAGTCTAATCGCATTCGCCAGGCTTATCAAGGCAAATCGCGAATTATACACGGTGTTTACCTCGCTCGTGATACGATGAGGGAACGAATTTACGTTGCAGGTGTCGTCGAGGCACACAGTTAATACGAGAAAGTGCATTCGATCGGGAGGCTGGAAAATGCACCGTACGTTTCTCGTTTACCGCCACCGCGAGATAATGATAAAGACGCGTTGCGTAACAGCATGCTCGTATAAAATGTCGGGCATCGGGCCGCGGTGGCGTGTGGGAACGGGAAAGGGAGAAAAAGGGAGAGAAAGGATGGAAAGCGAGAGAAGCCCCGTCGTCGTCGCTGCGCCACGGTGATCGGAAACGGCCGCGTTAAAATCGGCTACGGAGACAGCGATTAATCAATATATATCTATCGTTCGACACACCAATAGCGCCGAAAGGTTCGTTAAATTCGCGTCACCGTGAAAGCACTACCGTACACTATTTGGACCCGTCAGAGCGTGAACGCTCAATTGCCAATGACTGACGCAGGCCTTTGCCTTCTATCTTACGCAGAGGCTGTGGATTAAAAAAAAAAATTATTAAATAACCGGATAATCCAGATACCGACTCGACAATAATCGCTGTGTCCTTTCGTCCTCAAGACCACAAATTCTATACGGAGAGAAAAATATCGAAAAAATGAAAGATATTTATTCAGAAGTCAGCATTATATATGTTTATGTATTATTTTCTAAATAAGAAATTACACGATTTTCCGTTTTGTACATATATACATAAGGCCTATATCTTCATAATTATAGTCACAAGTCTGTCATTATAATTAGAGTTATGTATACGATTTTCAACCTTATGAGTAAATGTATAAGGCTGAAAATTGTATGATTTCCATGTACCTTTCGGAAATATGTATCTATGATACCTTTAGGAAATGATCGAACAAATAAAATAAATTACGGGTATTATTTCGCGTGATGTTATTAGTAGCCGCTTTAAATATTTTTTTATCTTTTAAACATTTTACTCTCAGTATATCGAAAACGTACTTGAAACGTACCCTTACCGAAAACGCGACGTTTCAACGATAATCGGCCTGACATCGCGCTATCATCCACGCGTATAATTACCTATGGGTAATTAAAATACATCACATGTCCATTTGTTCATTCATACGACCGTCGTTCATTCGTGCACGAGTCTCTGCGACGAATGTCCTTCTTTCATTCGTAATCTTCGCGAGAACGGTAAGCGCATTCGCGCTCATGATACACGAAAACAACAACAACGACACTAAGCCGAACTTACTTTTGCACGGTCGAGAGATTATAGTAATTTCGTTGTTGCTGATGGCCGTCGCGATGTTGTTGGTAGAGCTGGGAGGCGGACGAGGCGATCTGCGCGCAGGTTTCGTGCACACGGTGGTGCTCCTGATGGACGCGCGGCTGCAGCTCGTCCAACGAGATGAACTCCGGCTTTTGGGCGGTATGAAGGAGCTGCGTGTAGCCCTGTGCCATTTCCTGCACGACCATTTCCTGTCCTCCTGTTGGTCCGCGGAAGCGCAAGAGATCGTCCAGCTCCGGCTCGGGTTCCGGCTGCTGTTGCAGCTCGCGATGACGATAACGATGCTGAGGATGATGATGATGCTGATGATGGTGGTAATAATAATGGAGGATCCGATCGTTCACGCAGGCGCCATCGTCCGCGACCACCGCCTCATTCTCGACGGCGCCGCCGCTGCTGTCCGGTAGCAAACCACCCTCGTCTGGAGAACGACTGGCAAGAGTGGTTGTGGGCTCTGAAGAAGATGGGGCTCCCGGAGGAAGAAGTCCGCCGGGGGAGGCGAGTCGCGGGAACATGCTTGCGACGTGCGGGAGCTCCTCTCATCTTAGCGATCAAATGTAGACGGCGACCCCTCCTCGCGAGTCGTGACATTATCGGCCGGGGCGCAAAATCGCTCGCCTATTTCTCTCCGCGTGGCACTTTCCTGGTGTGCACCTCTCTCTCGAAATTGCAAGAGAACGCGGCGCGACACGACGGAGCTGTGTTTATGATAATGAAACGGGCCAGCACAAGAAAGGAAAAAAAAAAAGATCGGCGTTTCCGTTTGCGGTCTCGGGCGCGTTATTAGATTCGCCTGCGCAGCCGGTGCGCGCAAGTGCGCAATATCGACTTGCGGGGTGCTTTATCGCGCCGAAGAGCGCGCGGAAAATTTGCGTAATGTAAAACACGGGTGAGCCGTTCTATCGGGGCAATCATCTCGACCGGGGTGTAATTATCCACTCGCGAGCTGCCCGCGACGCAAAGCGCGCGACTTTCCAAACCGGCAGGCTCCCCCCCGTTTAGACGACCGACGATTAATTTCCAATGCGTCTGCGTCGGTGAATGCGCCGGTTCGGCTTAACGCCGGCTGCCAGTCGAGTGACCATCGGACAATAAAAACAGAGAGGAACGAGAAATATATATATATATCCGAGTCGAAATTTTAATCTTACATTATGTCTAGTTGGTTCGACATTAAGTCTTCAGAGATCTTCCCATACAGCAAGATTGCAAGAACATTGTAGCAACGTTTCATCGGAAGATTGCAACATTGCAGATACGTTGCGAAATTTTATCGCAATGTTGTTCTGAAATTGCAGCAATGTTAAAATGTCCGCTCTTAGGAACGTAGCAAAAAAAATTACAGCAACGTTATGTTGTGGAATGTAGCAATGCAACGTATTGTTACAGACACATTATGTACAAAATGTTTCAAATTTTAACGGATAAATGCCGAAAGCATATATAAATATAAAAAATTAATGTAGACGTGTAATCTTAAGTTTGTAATTGCTTCATATACAAAATATATTTAAATCATACGTACGTAATAATTACGAACTGGTTGAAAATACTTTAATGTCTGTATTATGGGTACAAAGTAATTAGAAATTTACGATTACACTTAAAAATAAATTATCAAAAATGTTATTAATTGTTAACTTCATGTAGGGGAAAAGGTACAGTGATTGGCAGTTTTACGATACATTTCTATTTTAAGCTGTCTCTTGATGCAAAACTGGCACTTGTAGAATTCGGTTTTCTTGTGAAAATTAGTCAAGATTCTACGTTACTATAATACATGGTTGTATTGGAAAAATAAAAGTATATCCTGCTCAAAATAAAATATCGAAATAACGAAAATTGAAATAACGAATTGAAATAACGAAAATCACAATAATTGGCACTCATGTCGTAATAATTGGCATACGTGTTACGGTGATTAGCACTCATTAGAAATATGTTAAATAAATATGTCGCAATTTAAAGCTAGTTAATGACCGAAACTCGATATTTAACTTGCCAAATAATTTATTAGATAAACACACTGTCCGTGCCAAATGATTTATTAGATAAACACACTGTCCGTGCCACATACCGGTAAATCGGCGGCCTTTGATTGCAACCTAATGAGTTAATCAACACTGCAATTTAATCGATTGCTTTTCGATAGATCACTTTCTCCCTTATCAAAAGCTGCACATTCGATAATATAGTCTGTTTTGCGTTTAAATATCCCAACCGATATCCCGGTCATTGTGCCTCTTTCCCTATATCTTTTTTCAATTAATTCAAAAAATATATATTTATGTAATATTGCACAGTCTATCGTTTAATATACCTTAACATCAATGTGACATCCAATAATTCATCTCCTGGTAATTCATTTCATCTACAGCGTGACGTTTTAGCAAATATTATAATTAATAATATCAAGTCGTTAAAATAATGACGACAATGCTCACAATTAATAAAGTTAGATCAGCGTAAAAATTTAACTCATAAATGCATTTTTTCGTCCGTAATCATGATGCATCCATATAAAAATCATAGAGTATTAAAATATTAAATAAATTTATTAAATAAATTTACAATGTTTTAAGAATGTTATTGCCATTTTTCGACGGAATATTGCAATTTCATGCCAGTACAATATCTCCGTAATATTACATTGCAACTTGCAATGTTACAATATTCCTACAATGTAACTGCAAGCTTCTGTGTTGTACGGGTTCTATTGTGTTCTTTTGATGCTATAAATGAGAAGTTATTGCCGTTTTCTCCACTTGAAAACTTAATGTGGGACGAAAATTTAAACATCGGAGGCCTCAATTCTCATTTGTAGTATTAAAAGAGCACTTATTATTTTCTCCACCTAAATAATTAATATAGAACTAAAATTTCGGCTAAAAAATCCGAGTCGAAATTTTAGTTCTACTTTAAGTCCAATTTAGCTCTACATTAAGTGTTCAAAGTGCTCTTCTATCGTGCTCTTTTGATGCTACAAATGGGAACTTTCCTACGGTTGAAGTCTCAACGTAGAACTAAGCAGACTCAATGTAGGACGAAAATTTCGGAAAGTCATTCGGAAGTCGCGCAGTGTTGTGTCGTTTCGGGGTCCCGCACGGGAATTCGCGAAACGGCAGCATATGGTATCGCGTGATTTCATACGGAAGAGACGTGCAAACAAATCTGTCGCACGAACAATAATCCCCGGCGACAACAGCGCGGCAATGTCACGATCGCGGATGTGGCCGGACGCATATTCGGGTGTCCGCGACTCCGAAGAATGCGCCGGCTACCGTCAACGCGCGTAGAGGAGCGCGTTAACGATGACGCAATAATCGTTTGTCACCGTACATTTGCTTCGGGCGAAAAAGAGACGGAAAGGAAGTCTCTCGTGGAGGGCGACGGGAGAGAGTAGCTCGCGAGAGAGAAGGATCATCAGGTGCCCGAACAGGCACGCACACGTCGGCAACCGAACGGCAAATGCGAAAGGTTAATTCCTCATGCGCGCGCGCGATCGTGGCATTAATAAACTTCCCCGGTGCGAAAAATTTCGCCCGCGCATTACCGATCGGGGAAGATGCGCTCACAAAAGGGGCTTCTTGCGCAATCGGCCCCAGATCGGCCGGGACGACGAAATCGGCAATTAATCAACGGCACGAGGGCGAATCGCCTTCGGACGTGCATTAATTGCTGCCTCTTTCTGCTCGCCACCTTCGCCGCTTGCTACTCAGGCAATTCCGCGTTTTTATGACATTTCATGCTCGAGCTCGCGGCATATTACGCGGCCGAACAGCGACAGCTCATTCGCTCGTTCGGAGGAACGAGAAACTTGCGGCGAATGAACGTTCCTACGAGGCCTCGAAGAGTCTTCGTTCCAGACGATTCGAGAGTCTTACAAACGAGAATTTCTCTTTCTTTCTCGATCCGCTCGGCGAACTAATTCGCGATGGACGCGAAAGAAGGAGATGTTTTCCCTGTTGGGGTGGTCTCCATTTCAGGCGCGTCTAGACCGCTAACCGGCGCACCGCTAAACACGAATCCGTTCTCATGGCATTCGTTGGCTCTGCCACATTCATAAAATAATATCGCACGACGTTCATCGCGAGGTCGTCTTCGAGCACTTCGCGCGCGAAATTCAATCAAGCCTCGATGAGCAATTAATTAATGCATTGCTTCGCGCCATTTCCACCGCGTTAAGATGTACGACAACGACTAATTGTCAACGGTAACTCGTGTGTGGCCGTTGTAATGCCGTGCGCGGATCCCGCAGACGAGAATTTACTCTCTCTTATTTCTCGGAACAGAGTCGCGATGAAAATAAGTGAAAAGTGGCAGTGTTTCTTTTTCCCACTCGAAACGACGACAAAAATACCGCCACTCGATTGAAGTGAATGTGTTCTTGTGGCAGTGGGGTAGTACATCGGATTTTACATCTTCAATTTCAAGTGGAAATATTCACTCGACTCCAAATGAAGAGTTCACCCTCTACAAATAGAAAATCACTCTATTCGGAGGTCATTTTACTTTTCGAACGAGATTCTACCCTAAGAAATTTCGAAAAAATAGAGGACAAGTGATGGCGACCAACGGGAATTTTCTGGCCCACGGAAGACTCACTGGCTCGAGACATAGCTCTCGTCACGACTTGAATAGGGCATCGATGATTTTCCATCGCGCTCATCAGCAGTATATCAACGATGCTTCGCCGTTCACGCTTGAGAGTGTGAATGATTGATACTCGCGCTTCACCGTGCGACGATCGAGGGGATACTGGAGCGTCGCGTGAAACACCGCAACGGAGACTCGCTTTGTCGGTGTGTAATCGGCACCTTGACTTGGCATCTGATAAAATTCCTCGGGAGGCAATCACGTGACGATTCAGATAATAGCGGCAATGACATTCTCTCTAGACGGCCGCGATAGATGCGCAACCTTCGACAGAGCCGCGCATTATAACGTGCAATAACGGTGCCTCTCGTCGATCCGGAAGTCCAGATGACACCGACGAAGCGGTCGCGGGACGGAGACGACTGTTACCTGTCGCGAGGGTGGAAAAGATAATAGCGCGAAGGCGCTTTGTCTCGACGAAACAGTGTTCGTCGTCGAGCCGTCGAATTATCGTGCGCACTCAGAGAAAGAATTGGTTGTGGCAGCTAAGATATAGCTGTGGCAGCTAATACGTGGTTTTGAAAGAGGAACAGCTAACTAACACAACTAAATTTATTAGCTGTTTGGATCTAGGCGTTACAGCGAAAAATATTAGCTAGATCAGTATCGAAAAGATTGCAACATTTTTTTCTCGCGTATATGTATGTGTGTTAAGCTTGCGTCTCACTTCACGGAAACTCACAAACTATTCAGAATTCTGGCTCCTTTTTTTAATAAGTTCTGGAGTTCTTGACGCGAGTCAAACAAATAATTCTGTTCACTAAAGCAGAAAAAATAGATCCGGACGAAGCGAGACGTCAAGTTTACGTTGCGTTTCTTTATCCCGTACGAGTTTCCTTGATATTCAATGCCAAATCTCAAAAGATTTAAAGTTCTAAAAAAATTTTAGAGAGAGCTCTATCAATAAACATAGCTTTTTCAACATTTTGGTCGATTTACGGGAGTTCTTGGGATTTGAAAATATTTCTCGTCATAATTCCACGTTATTTTTTTGTGTAAAGCGAAGTGTTCTTTGTCGATTCTCGAGCGGCGATCGCGCGAACGGCAGA